ACAGGAAAACAGAGTGGCTGCCCTCTGAGCTCCAACCCCAGAGTCCCCAAGCCAGAACTCTCCTCACACGGCTGCAGTCCACTCTGTCCTCTCTGTGCTGGAGCCCCAGGTGAGTGGCTACACACGAAATTTTGTACATTGGCCCTTTAAGAGGGTGCCTGCATTTCTAGCCATCTCTCCTGGCAGACAGCAACCCTGCTGCTTTTGACAGTCAGATGTTACTTGGGTACCTTTCTCAGTTCTGGTGCTCTGAGCTGGGGGGCCCAGCTTGGCATTTAGACCCCAGAGTTCTCAGTGGGAACCCCCCTCTGCCCCTACCTTCAGCTGCTGTCTGTGGGAGCCCGGCTAACCACTTCTCATCTTCACATTCCTCCTAGTCTCTGTGTGGTCTCAACTTTCCATCCTTGGTTGTCAGGGTTCTCTCTAGCTAGTCCTCAGTTGATTTCCAGAATGGTTTTTCTGTAGTTCAGTTGTATTTCCAGTTTGGTCCTAGGAATGTCAGTGTAACTTCCAGTTACTCTGCTGCCATTTTGGAATCAACCAGAAATATTATTATTATAGAGTAAAATCAATGTCAGGAGAGCAAGGAATTGAATGGCTCTCTATGAAATTACAATTTTTATGCATTTACAAAGCTTTAAAAGGGAGTTCTTTTTTAGTGAGATTTTCTTTGAATTTTTTTCTTTGTTCAAATATTTGAGACCCCCAGAATTGGAGGAATACATTGAAGTGTGCTAAACCAGAATAAAATATGGGAGAAAAGAAGCAAACCAAGAAATAAAGATCAAGGAGCATGCTGCTGCTTTAGTTTTCCCTCATTTTCCTCTCTTCACCTCCAGGCCTCCTTCAGCTTAAGCTCCCTGGTCAGATGTTGGCAGACAGATATAACAGTGCAAGTGTGAGGGGCCTTTGACTCCTCCTCATCCTATCTAATAAAAGAGAAACATGGTAATTGGCGTACGACCGTTACCCTTCCCATTGGCTAATCAGCGAGATATGCAAATTAACTGCCGGCCAAGATGGCGGCCAGCAGCCAGGCAGCTTGAAACTAATATGAGGCTTGCTTGCTTCAGTGACGGAGGACTCCAACGTTCCCCGCCTGCCGCTGCAGGCCTCTGAGCTGCAACTCTAAGCAACTGTGTAACAAATATAGAAGCTACACAAAACCCCAGAAACCTTCCGGGCTTCAGCCAGCAGGATCGCAACATTGTAAGCAAAGGCCAGAAACCTACTTTCAGCAGCGGAGGCCTAAGAGCTGGAGGCAAGCCTCAAAGCTAAAGCTGGCCCAGAATAAAAAATAAAAAAAGGAGCGGTTGGAAGCTTTAGTCACCCCCAGCCTGAGAACAGCCCTCAGCCCCTCACCCAGACTGGCCAGGCACCCCAGTGGGGACCCCCACCCTGAAGGGTGTGTGACCAGCTGCAAACAGCCATCATCCCCTCACTCAGGCTGTCCAGGCACCCCAGTGGGGACCCCCACCCTGAAGGATGTGTGACAAGCTGCAAATAGCCATCATCCCCTCACCCAGGCTGGCCAGGCACCCCAGTGGGGACCCCCACCCTGATCCAGGACACCCTTCAGGGAAAACCACCCGGCCCCCACCCGTGCACCAGACCTCTACCTTATATAGTAAAAGGGTACTATGCCTCCCAGCACCGGGATCAGTGGAGCTGCGAGGCCTCCCGGCACCAGGATCAGTGTGACGGGGCAGCGCCCAAACCCCCTGATCGCCCTGTGGCTCTGTGTGTGACAGGGGTCGGGGCCAATACCTCCCTATCCACCCTGCTCTGTTCATGACAGGGGAAGGCGCCCCAAACCCCTGATCAGTCCTGCTCTGTGCCTGATACAGGGGAGCTCCCCAACCCCCTGATCGCCCTGCGGCTCTGTGTGTGACAGGATGCGGCACCCCAAACCCCTGTTCGGTCCTGCTCTGTGTGTGACGGTGCGGCGCCCCAACCCCCCCACCCCACGGGCCCTGCTTTGTGTGTGACGGGGTAGAGCCATAACCTCCCCATCGGCCCTGCCCTGAGTGTGAGAGTGGCGGCGCCCCAACCCCCTGATCGGCCCTGCTCTGTGGATGATAGAGGGCAGCGCCCCAACCCCCTGATGGACCCTGCTCTGTGCGTGAGAGGGGGCAGTGCCCCAACCCCCTGATTGGCCCTGCTCTGTGCGTGACGGGGTGGTGCCGCAACCTCCCCATCGACCCTGCCTTGAATGTGACGGGACGGTAGCCCAACCCCCCAATCAGCCCTACCCTGAGCATGACTGAGGGTGGCATCGCAACCTCCCAATCCGCCCTGCTCTGTGCATGACAGGGGGCGGCGCCCCAACTCCCCAATCAGCCCTGCTCTGAGCCCGACCAGGGGCTGCACCTAGGGATTGGGCCTGCCCTCTGCCACCTGGGAGCAGGCCTAAGCCAGCAGGTTGTTATCTCCCAAGGGGTCCCAGACTGCGAGAGGGCACAGGCTGGGCTGAGTAACCACCCCTCTACCCCCCGAGTGCACAAATTTTTGTGCACCGGGCCTCTAGTCTATACCAATAAAAGGGTAATATGCAAATTAACCATCACTCCATGACAAAGATGGCGGCGCCCATAGCCAAAAAGATGGCGGTAGCTGGAGCCATGGAACCGGCCAGAGCGGGCAGGATGCTTGGCTTCCTTCAGGTGGGACGCTTGGCTTCCTTTGTTGCCCCAGCGATGAAGGAAGCCAAGCCTCCCACAAGCCCTGGCCTCTGGGTGGCAACCACGGAGCCAGCTGGAGTGAGTGGGAGGTGGCTCCAGAGCAAAGGCCCGGGTCCCGGGTGCCAGAGGGAAGTCAGTGCCAGCAGCAAGGGGAAAGAAGGCCTATTCTTGCATGAATCTTCGTGCATCGGGTCTCTAGTCTTAAAATATTAAGCTACAGTTGTTTTCAGTTCCAGATAAGCCTCTTGGCTCCATTATGATTCTCATCATTTTCTTCATAGCCCTGAGTTAGAGTGCAGATACTTTCGTTAATCTCTTCAGTTTTGACATGGTCTGATCTTTCTCCCCAAAGGCTTGTAATTGGAAGTGTTAAATGCTATGCTTCCTCTGAGATCCAGCTTCCTGAGGATGGATTTTCCACGTTTCCCGTGTTGTCTTTCACTGGTTAACTTCAGACCAAGAATCTGGCACATGACTGCTTGTTCTGACACTTCACATTTATAGTCGATGAACTTCCCAGCAGGGACAGCCTGTCAGTATTTGTAGAGCTGTGAGTCTCACTGGAGTGTTGTAGCCACTGCAGGGCAAGCCATTTAGACTGAGGGTTTGAATGCAGCAGATTCTTTCTGGTCCCATTGTTGTGTTCCTGGAAAGTGTACAATGGAATAGATTTGCATTCCTCTGAGAGGAGCCAGGTCATGGATGATTTAGTTGTTGACCCACAGAAGATAAGGATTTTGGGGCGGGGTATTTAGAAGGGAAGATTTAAAAGTAACTAAACTAGAAAATGTTTCACATGAAATAAGGTCACTTTGCATTTTGGGGGGAGTCTCTTTGCACTCAACAAATGGTATTGATGAGGTTTTTAATGTTGGGAGGTGGTCTTGGGCCGCTTGCATCGGGCAGCTGGTCCTGAGGCAGCCGTGGGGTTGCTTGTCTGGTTTGGCTGCATTTCTGGGCCTGGAGCTGAAACACAGCCAAGGCCAGATGTATCTGATGTGGGTCAGAACCTCACTGTCCTGGGGGCTTGATGCCTAAGGGCTATTCTCCAGCCCCTGTTCCTTCCCCCTCAGAGGGTCTACCCGCAGGACTAGCAATACGGCAGGGGAGGAAAGGGGAGGGAGGGTCCAACTGCAGGCCCAGCCATGTGAAAGGTCAGGATTCTAAACCGCATAAAAAAAGAAAGAAAGAAAAGTTAGTATATGTTATATATAGTAATTAGTATATATACTAAATTTTTAACTTGGGGCTATTGATGAAGATGAAAAGAGGGTGGCAAGCAGAACAAGAAAAAGGAAATGACTATGTTGAAAAGAAACATCCTCTTTCCATAAGTCTCATGTGTGATGTCGTCATATTTGTGTATTTATGTGTAACTTTGTTTCTATTTATACAGAATATTAATACTATGCACTTAAATAGACTAATATATGAAAATACTCCTACTTTTTTGTATAGAACTTTAGAAATGAATAGTGAATATTTAAAGAGTACTTTACTTAGCTATATTATACTAGAGCCTCAATGCATGAAATTCGTGCAAGAGTAGACCTTCCTTCCCCTGGCTGCCAGCACTGGCTTCCCTCTGGCACCCAGGACCCGGGCTTCCCTCGTAGCCCCTGCTTCATTCAGAAGGTCATCTGGAAGGACATCCGATCTAATTAGCATATTATGCTTTTATTATTATAGATGCTTTCTGTTGTCAATATATTATGGTAACTTTAAAGTCAATAACTCTGACATTCAGATGCCTTGAATACAGAACACTTTAGCAAAACGAGGTGTAAGAAATCTGGTAATAGCAATAGATACTGTTTAAACATTTCTTTATTTAGCCCTAGTAGGATTTGAGCTAACACTAAGCTATTAATAAAATGGTGAAGTCTAGCCCTAGCTGGTTTGGCTCAGTAGATAGAATGTCAGCCTGTGGACTGAAGCAAACGGTGGTCTGCGGACCATTGGTGGTCGGTGAGGTCTGAAAGGTTGGCGACTGCTGGACTGAAGGGTCCTGGGTTTGATTCAGGTCAAGGGCACATGCCTGGGTTGTGGGCTTGATCCCCAGTAGGCAACCAATCAGTGATTCTCTCTTGTCATTGATGTTTCTATCTCTCTTCCCTTCTCCTGTCCTCTCTGAAATCAATACAGATATATTTTAAAAAATAAAACGGTGACGTCTAATTTAAAAGTTGTTTATGTATCTAGAATTAAATAACTATTTCAATTTCTATAATCAAAGTTCTAATTTTAACAAATCTTCAACATTGGGGGGTTCAACAAAACTGGATGCAGCATCTAATTTTTAAATACATTTTCTTCTAGTATCTTTCTCTGAAGAAGAGAAGTGTCAGCTGCGAAAATTTGTCCATAAGTCTTACCTGCTGGACAAAAGAGCCCAACGTCAAGTGTACTATAGTCTGATTGATATCCTTCTGGCCTATTGCTATGAGACTCGTGTCAATGAAGGAGAGAAGAACGTAAGTGCGTATGTGTCTGTGCTTGTTGGCTGAGACTCCTGCACTGAGTAAACTGTATTAGTACTTCACTCCTCTTGTGGAGAGTAAGACCTGTGGTGATCACTGCTTAGGGGACGCTTGGGGCAGAGTTGCACATGTTTGTTGGTGGTGGGTATCAACATAGAAGCATAATGCTTGCTTGGTGTCTTTCTTTCCTCTCTTGGCATCAGTCTTTACACATAGCAAAGAGGGGAAGTAAAACTGAGGCTAGAGAAAAAGGATCTTTAGGAGATAAATTGCTCAAATAAGACACTTGACTTTGGCAAGGAGTAAACTGTCAACCCATTTATGTTCTTTCTCTGAGCTGTCAATTAGCAGGTGCAAGGTATAGGAATCTTTTAAAGCAGCGGTTCTCAACCTGTGGGTCGCGACCTCTTTGGGGGTCGAACAACCCTTTCACAGGGGCCACCTAAGACCATCAGAAAACACATATATAATTACATATTATTTTTGTGATTAATCACTATGCTTTAATTATGTTCAATTTGTAACAATGAATTTGGGGGTCACCACATCATGAGGAACTGTATTAAAGGGTCGCAACATTAGGAAGGTTGAGAACCACTGTTTTAAAGAAATCCTATATAATAAAAAGGCTAATATCAAATCGACCTAACAGCGGAATGACTGGTCACTATGACGGGCACTGACCACCAGGGGCAGACGCTCAACACAGAAGCTGCCCCCTGATGATCAGTGCGCTCCCACAGGACTAATGCCACTCAGCCAGAAGCTGGGGCTCATAGCTGGCAAGCGCAGCGGCAGTGGTGGGAGCCTCTCCTGCCTCTGCGGCAGTGCTAAGGATGTCCAACTGCTGGCTTAGGCCTGAAGTGGGCCTAAGTTGTCAGTCGGACATCCCCTGAGGGCTCCTGGGGGTGCATGCCGGGCTGAGGGATTACACCCCCACCTCAGTGCATGAATTTTGTACCCTGGACCTCTAGTCTGTTATTAAGAATATATTAATGTAAAGTACTAATGTAAAGTACATTAGTATTCTTAAATTATATTCTTTTTTAATAACACAGACTTTATCGTAGCTCTCCTTAACCCTACCAGACCGCTGAACCAGTTTTTAGGTAATTTCCACACAAAGGTGGAATATTGGCGCTAGATGAAAGGTAGACCTATTTTCTACAATGTCTCCAAGTTCCATCTTATTCTAACCACTTGTTTGCATGTAACTAACATTTTTCTATATCATGTTGGTTTTTTCTCTTTAATGCTCAGGAGCCCAGGTACAGGGGACAGTTAGGTTCAGGGCCTCAGGTCTGGTAGACTTAAACCACATTTGATTTTGTAAATGAAGAGCTAAACATTTTTCTCACCTCTACTTTTAAAAAAGCTGGGATCAACAACAAAAAGTCTTTCTGGTTAATGTGCACTGCAGCTATTTATGATTATCCTTGCTCAAAGGGCTTTTCTTGAGCTGTGCACATGCTTTCTTAAAAATTTAAATACACAAATACTCTGTATCATTGTAAAGGGAAATACAAGAAAAAAATCATTAAAATGTCCTGTAATCTCAGCCCCAGAAAAAGCCACTGTTAAAATGTGATGTATCTCTTTCACTCTCTTTCATTGTGCACATGTATGTATGCATGTATGATATTGGGTCATGATGTATGCATTATATAACCTGCTGTTCTCACTTAACATCATAATTTTAGGATTAGAATTTTATATGTGCCAAGATGATTTATATTGTCATGATTCTGAAAATTTCAAGAGAGACTCTTGAGATTTGCATTTCACTCCAAAATGAATATAAATGAGTGTATCAAGGTCCTAATATAACTGAAAATGCTTTTTGTTTCCACTCATCTTTTTAAGATACTGCAATTGGAGAAAATGTTTTCTTTGGCAAAAAGTGCTTATTGCTTGAGGAGATAAGTGAGTGTTTAGTTTTACTCGATAACATTTATTCTTCTATTTGCATATTTGAAATTATGAAGTCTTGAAACTTCAAAACCTTCTTTAGAATATATTTACTCTCACAAGCATTCTCTGAAAAGGCCAAATTCTTGAGCAGCTTTTTTGTGTACCACAAACACACATTAATATTATTTTTGAGTCCATTGATAGAATGTTTGGGAAGTAAGTAACTTGGTTGAGAAGGACAGAAATTGAGCAATGCATCACTTTACTTTAATTTTACTTTCATAGCTGTGCTCATTTGCTCTTGTGCCCTGGGACTCTTATTATTGGAAAAGCTTTACTTTATAAAATCCAAATAGACAGAAACTTGCCTTTGATAGCATCTGCATTGAGTAAAGCAAGTATTTTATTTTATTTTTTGCAATCATAGACACTTCTTAGCTTTTATATTTATGTCAAAACTACTCACATGCTATTTGAAAAAATGGATATATTTGTTTTATTTTTATATGACTATCTCTCACGTGACAGTATTCTTTTCTTTAAATCAAATAAAGGTTGAATCTGCGTGGAATATCAGAAAACTGAGTCCAACACTGTGCTGGTTTGAGGTATGACTTTTAATTGCAATTTTTTAGATTTGTTTGTCCAGAAATGTATTTTTTCATTGTCATTAGTTCATTTTGTGTAATTTAAGCAATTCCTTGACTTTTTAAAAATGGAAGGTTTATTGTACAAGTTTATTTTTTATCTTTTTAATAAAATTCTAATCCATTTGTTACTCTTATTCTAATTATAGTATACTAATGAAGCCAGGTGGGGTATTTTGGAAATCAGGAGAGGGAGAACGCATTTTGGAGAAAGAATGGGTATGTGGTCTGTTGGGGAAGATGGTGGGGTGGAGTTGAGGCATGTTTAGGAGTTGGCGTATGCTGGGGCTCAGAGGTCAAGATGGTAATCACACCCCGTGGTCCTACCACTGGCTCCCACTGACCACCAGGAGCTGTGGAGGCGTTGTAGACGCATTCCCTCACTAACTCCTTCCCATAGTCTGTGAGAAGTGTTATTGACATTTTACAGACCAGGAAACTTAGCACATAATGCTTAAATAACTTCTCTTAGTCCTAGAATTAGTGTAGGTAGATCTGATAAGTTTTTTAATATAGTGATACTTGTTTTTACATATATTTTCTAGAAAATAGTTTTGTAGGTCTTACCAAAAATATCAATGGGTGGTATCTTTATATTTACCTGATTTGGACAAAATGTTATACATCAAAATAATAATTAAGAGTAGAAGCTTTAAGAAGTGTCAATTTAAATTTCCCTCAGTTAAAAGCCTACATACTAGGTGTACCGGTTAATAATGCGGATTTTTTTCAATAGATGGAATAACACATATGTTGATATATATGCGATTTGATATGTATGCTATTTTGTTGTATTTACAAGAAGCTTCAAAACTTCATATGTCAAATTTGTTGAAGGTGTTAACATCATAATAGATATTTTTACATTTAAAAATGTAGAATTCTGTGCCAAAAAAGAGCATTTGTGGGAAGTTTTAATTCATTACTTTATTTTGAAGAAAAGTGCTGCTGAATACTTCAGGAAGCTTATGGTGAACATGCTCCATCTCAAGATACTTGTGAATGCTAGTTTAAATGCTTTAAAAGTGATGATTTCTATGTGAAAGACAAAGAATGTTCAGGTCAACCAAAAAAGTTTGAAGACCAACAATTACAAGCATTATTGGATGAAGAAGCATGTCAAACTCAAAAACAACTTGTAGAAAGATTAAACATTTCTCAGCAAATAATTTCTAATCGTTTACAAGCAATGGGAAAGATTTTAAAGGAAGGAAAATGGGTGCCACATCAACTGAACAAAAGACAAATGGAAAACCGAAAAGTCATCAGTAAAATGTTGCTTCAGCGGCACGAAAGAAAGTCTTTTTTGCATCAAATTGTGACTGGCGATGAAAAGTGGATTTATTTTGAGAATCCCAAACGCACAAAATCATGGGTTGATCCAGGTCAAACATCAACATGGATTGCAAGGCCAAATCGCTTTGGAAAGAAGACAATGCTCTGCGTTTGGTGGGATCAGGAAGGTGTGGTGTATTAAGAGCTTCTAAAACCAGGTGAAACCATTAATACTGATCGCTACCGACAACAAATAATCATTTGAACCACGCTTTGATCCTGAAACTACCAGAATGTGCTAGAAGACACGGCAAAGTAATTTTGCTTCATGATGATGCACCATCGCACACTCCAAAATTAGTTAAAGACACATTAAAACAGCGATTCTCAACCTGTGGGTCAAGACCCCTTTGAGGGTCGAAAGACCCTTTCACAGGGGTCGCCTAAGACCATCGGAAAACACATATGTAATTACATATTGTTTTTGTGATTAATCACTATGCTTTAATTATGTTCAATTTGTAACAATGAACATACATCCTGCATATCAGATATTTACATTAGGATTCATAACAGTAGCAAAATTACAGTTATGAAGTAGCAACGAAAATAATTTTATGGTTGGGGGTCACCACAGCATGAACTGTATTAAAGGGTCGCAGCATTAGGAAGGTTGAGAACCACTGCATTAGAAGATCTTGCCTGGGAAGTATTAACTCACCTGCTGTATTCACCAGACCTTACTCTTTCAGATGACCACTTGTTCCGATTTGATGGCACATGCACTTTCTGAGCAGCACTTCAAAACACATGAAGAAGTGGAAAATTGGGTCTCTGAATGGTTTGCCTCAAAACAAGAAAAGTTCTATTGGGACGGTATCCACAAATTACCTGAAAGATGGGAGAAATGTATAGCTAGTGATGGACATTACTTTGAATAAAGCACTTTCGATGTTTCTCTTGAAATTATCGTGTTTTCTTTGATTACAAAATCCGCATTATTAACTGATACACCTAGTATAGTACACTTTAAGTTGTAAAATCAAAGTTGTTTCATGGCATCGTTTGATTGAAGTAAAAGGTATGTTGTAAACAGGAACTGAAACACTTAACTTTATCTGGTCCGTGGACCAACAGCTTGGCCAGCCTCTGTGGCTGGGAGCTTGTTAGCAGCACATAACATCAGTCCAGATACACTGAGTCAGAATCTGTAGCTAGATCTTCAGGGTTTTATGTGTATACTAGAGGCCCAGTGCACGAATTCGTGTACCAGTGGGGTCCCTCGGCCTGACCTGCGGGATCGGGCTGAAACTAGCTCTCTGACATCCCCCAAGGGGTCCCAGGTTGTGAGAGGGTGCAGGCCAGGCCGAGGGATCCCACCAGTGCACAATCGGGGCTGGAGAGGGACGCGGGAGGTTGGCCAGCTGGGGAGGGACTGCAGGAGGGCTCCAGAGCATGTCTGGCCCACCTTGCTCAGTCCCAATTGGCCAGACCCCAGCAGCAAGCTAACCTACGCGTTGGAGCATCTTCTCCTGGTGGTCAGTGCACTTCATAGTGACCAGTCGACTGTCTGCCTCCTGGTGGTCAGTGCACATCATAGTGACCAGTCGACTGTCTGCCTCCTGGTGGTCAGTGCACATCATAGTGACCAGTCGACTGTCTGCCTCCTGGTGGTCAGTGCACTTCATAGTGAGTGGTTGAGCAGCCTTAGTATCATTAGTATATTACACTTTGGTTGGTTGAACAGCTGCCTGGTCAACCAGACACTTAGCATATTAGGCTTTTATTATATAGGATTAAAGATGGAGAAGTGCTGTTTGCTAGACTTCATTTAGGTTCTGTGTATTGCCACCATTAGCATATAATGGAGAAACTGGTTTTTGTAGTAATTGCATTCATTATGGAGTTGGTGATCAATTTTATAGTTCAGTTATTAAAATCTACATGAGTAACATCACCTATTTATGATTTTATTTTGAAATTTTTAGATTTTGAGAAAACTTAGAATTGCCAGACATGGTAATAAGTGTCAGACTTTTATAAGTATTTCATTTTTTTGGCTAGAATTTTTTAAAAGTTCATAGCTCTTTTTTTTTTAATATATTTTATTGATTTTTTACAAAGAGGAAGGGAGAGGGATAAAGAGTTAGAAACATCGATGAGAGAGCAACATCGATCAGCTGCCTCCTGCACACCCCCTATTGGAGATGTGCCCACAGCCAAGATATATGCCCTTGACCGGAATCGAACCTGGGACCCTTCAGTCCATAGGCCGACGCTCTATCCACTGAGCCAAACTGGTCAGGGCCATAGCTCTTTTTAGATATAAAATTATTCTTTGTCAGATACTCAATATTCTTAATCAGGTCTCCCATTCATTAAAGTTAATATACATGGAAATTATGCTGCTCCCTTAGTGTTTATTTTATATTTTAAATTTTATATATGGGTAACATTTTTTATCAAAACTCAGTTTAAGACTGGCCAGTATAGTTCAGTGGTTGAGCATCATCCTATGAACAAGGAGGTCGTGGTTCGATTCCCACTCAGGGCACATGTCCAAGTTGCGGCATCAATCCCTGGTAGGGGCATGTAGGAGGCCGATCAGTGATTTTCTCTCATCATTGATGTTTCTATCTCTCCCTCTTCCTTCCTCTCTGAAATCAATCAAAACAAAACAAAAAACAAAAAAACACCTCAATTTGAAAACAGTTTGGTAGAAAATTACCTTTGTCTAGTGATTTCAGTAAGTTTTGAATTGCTAATGGTTATCAGTTTAATACTATTTATAATAAAACACTCTTTTTCCCAGGAATTATTAATTTTCTCTTTGATGATTAAAAATAAATTACTGAAGTAAATACCAGGTATTACTCATGTCCAAAGTAAAAGAGAGAGCGACTGAACACACACCACTAAAAAGTTCTACACCTTTCATCTATACTCTGTGGAATGGTCCTAAAAGACAAAAGCATAAAATATAGATTATTGAGAAAGGTCTTTTGTGTGCATGTGTGTTTGGTTAGAGTCCAGGGGTGGGCAAACTTTTTGACTCGAGGGCCACAATGGGTTCTTAAACTGGACCCGAGGGCCGGAACAAAAGCATGGATGGAGTGTTTGTGTGAACTAATATAAATTCAAAGTAAACATCATTACATAAAAGTGTACGGTCTTTTTTTTCTTTAGTTTTATTCATTTCAAATGGGCCGGATCCAGCCCGCGGGCTGTAGTTTGCCCACGGCTGGGTTAGACCCATGTGTTTTAGATTCACATTTATAATTCTTAAGAGACTTTTAAAAGCTTTCCTACTGCCCTAACCAGTTTGGCTCAGTGAATAGAGCGTCAGCCTGCCGACTGAAGGGTCCCGGGTTCGATTCCGGTCAAGGGCGTGTACCTTGGTTGTGGGCACATACCCATTGGGGGCGTGCAGGAGGCAGCTGATCGATGTTTCTCTCTCATTGATGTTTCTAGCTCTCTATCCCTCTCCCTTCCTCTCTGTAAAAAATCAACAAAATATATTTAAAAAAAAAAAAAGCTTTCCTACTACATATGTGGTTTTTAAAGAGTGGGTGTGATAAAATATGGAAATTACAAAGACTAATAAGATTAAATAATTTATTGTAAGGTGTACAAAAACTCATTTTATGGTTTTATATTTCTCTCTACTTGGCTTCATTATAATCCAAACTTAAAAAAAAATTTTTTTTAATCCTCACCTGAGGATATTTTTTCTTTTTTTTAAAGGGAGAGTGGAAGAGAGAGGTAAAGACAGAGAGAAATATCAATGTGAGAGAAACACATAAATTGGTTGCCTCCTGCACAAGCCCCGACCAGAGCCCAGGCCGGGGAGGAGCCTGTAACCGAGGTACATATTCTAAAACAAGCTAAGTGCCAAATTTAAATCACTTTGTATTCTTGTTTTTCGTGGGTACCTATAATTTCTAGTTACTATGCTAGGACTGTGGGTATAATAGTAAATAATAAGGGTCCAAGATTTGATGCCCTTGACCGGAATCGAATCCGGGACCCTTTGGTCCACAGGCCAACGCTCTCCAGGGACCCTCAAACTTTTTAAACAGGGGGCCAGTTCACTGTCCCTCAGACCGTTGGAGGGCCGGACTATAGTTTAACAAAAAACTAGTCGACTGCTAAGCAACAGGCAGCAGCGGCAAAAACACCTGGCGGGCCGGATAAATGTTTTTGGTGGGCCGCATGTGGCCTGCGGATCATAGTTTGAGGACCCCTGCTCTATCCACTGAGCCAAAACAGCTAGGGCCAAACTTTTAATTTTTTTTTAATATGTATTTTGATTTTTTATAGAGAGGAAGGGAGAGGGATAGAGAGTTAGAAACATTGATGGGAGAGAGACACTGATCAGCTGCCTCCTGCACACCTCCTACCAGGGTTGTGCCCACAGCCAAGGCACATGCCCTTGACTGGAATCGAACCTGGGACCTTTTAGTCCACAGGCCAACGCTCTATCCACTGAGCCAAAACGGCTAGGGCCAAACTTTTAATTTTTAATGGACAATATTTCATGATATACTTTTGTTTGTATAATATGGAAATGCTTACTTATTTAATTGATACTTCATAGACTTGGACTAATGTTCATGAAGTCCTGGTGTCTTTTGGAAGAAGAGTTTTGTGCTACCCACTTTACCGCCATTTCAAGCTGGTGACGAAAGCCTGCAGAGACACTATAAAGATATTGCAACTAGGTGAGATATTATTGTGCTTACAGAATTGAGAATGAAAAATTACAAGTTTTTAGTCTGAGGAAGTAATACTCTTTTTTTCTATATGTAAATAATGAAATGATTCATCCAACCACTTTTCCTCCCAGGTGTATGTAAAGTAATAGTCCCTCTATACAGATGTATAATCACACAAATCAGGTGTTTCTGAAAGGAGTGGGAAGGTAAATAAAGAAGTACACACCATATTCCAACCCACTTTGTATTTAGTAGATTTCATCATTCAGTGTTTCTTGGGTGCTTATAATTCCTAGGACTGTGGGTATAATAGTAAATAAGATAAATTTCCTGTTCCTATGAAGTTTTCAGTTTTACCTGGATGACAGATGATAAATAACACACAATTTCAGAATAGAGTGAAATGCACTTTGCTTGCGGGAGTACAGTGATCCACTAGGAAGAGGCAAGGGGACCTGGGCTTGGAAAGGCTTTCCAAAGAAAAGCACAGCTACTCACAGGACTTTTTGTTGTTGTTAATGTTTCTTTTCTATTGATCTTACAGTAAGGGAGGGAAGGAAGGAGGAACAAACAGAGAGAGAGAGAGAGACATGTATTAATTGCCTCCCACACAACCAATAGTATTAACAAGTATGAAAATAGTATTAACAATACTTAAAAGGAAAGCACAGTTTTTGAAGAGTATGTAACTTTCCTTTTCAAAACTGTGTCATAATTTTTGTAAATTTTCTAAAACACCTGATCAAAATCTGGCTTGTCAGTTGTTCAAAAATGCATTTGAAGAAAATGTTCACGTATGAAATTAATGTTTAGAATTTTTTATCAGTATTTTAAGGCTTAGTTGTATAATCAAGTATGTCTGTCTTTTTGTTGAACAAATAGATGTTCATTGTGGAGAATTTTGAAAATAGGAGAAGTGCAAAGAAGAATAAAGAACTGTAATTCCTCATATGAAATAATGTCAGGCACACATCACATTTGTTCAGTGACTGTAGAGACAAACATATATATACTTGTTCAATGACTGTAGAGACACACACACACACACATACATATATACATATATATATATATATATATATATATATATATATATAATCTTACACATATAAAACTTATTTCCCATCTGTATTTATCTTTTTTTAACAAAATAGGGATAACACTATGTAAATACAATGTAACTTCTCTTTAAATTAAAAATTCAGACTACTTCTTTATTATTACTAGAGGCCCGGTGCACAAAAATTTTTTTACTCGGCGTGGCGGGTCCCTCAGCCCGGCCTGTGCCCTCTCGCAGTCTGGGGCCCCTCGGGAGAAAACGACCTGCTGCTTAGGCCTGCTCCCGTGTGGCAGAGGGCCGGCCCAATCCCTAGGTGCAGCCCCTGGTCGGGCTCAGAGCAGGGCTGATTGGGGAGTTGAGGCGCCGCCCCCTGTCATGCACAGAGCAGGGCGGATCGGGAGGTTGCGATGCCACCCTCAGTCACGCTCAGGGTAGGGCCGATTGGGGGGTTGGGGCACCGCCCCCTGTCACACTCAAGGCAGGGTTGATGGGGAGGTTGCGGCACCACCCCCTGTCATGCACAGAGCAGGGCCCATCAGGGAGTTTGGGGCTCCATACCCTGTCACGCTCAGAGCAGGGCCCATCAGGGGGTTGGGTAGCTCCTCCCTGTAAGCACAGAGTAGGGCAGATCAGGGGGGTGGGGCGCCGCCCTCTATCACCCACAGAGCAGGGCCGATCAGGGGGTTGGGGCGCTGCCACTGTCACACTCAGGGCAGGGCCATTGGGGAGGTTATGGCTCTACCCCATCACACACAGAGCAGGGCCCGTGGGGGTGGGGGGGCTGGGGCGCCGCACCCTGTCACACACAGAGCAGGGCCAATCAGGGGGTTGGGGAGCTCCCCCCTATCAGGCACAGAGCAGGGCTGATCAGGGGGTTGGGGCGCCTTCCTCTGTAATGAACAGAGCAGGGCAGATAGGGAGGTTGTGGCCCCGCCCCCTGTCACACACAGAGCCACAGGGCAATCAGGGGGTTTGGGCGCTGCCCCCTGTCACACTGATCCCGGTGCCGGGAGGCCTCTCAGCTCCGCTGATCCCGGTGCTAGGAGGCATATTACCCTTTACTATATAGGATAGAGGCCTGGTGCACGGTTGGGGGCCGGCTGGTTTGCCCTGAAGGGTGTCCTGGATCAGGGTGGGGGTCCCCACTGGGGTGCCTGGCCAGCCTGGGTGAGGGGATGATTGCTGTTTGCAGCTGGTCACACACCCTTCAGGGTGGGGGTTCCCACTTGGGTGCCTGGCCAGTCTGGGTGAGGGGCTGAGGGCTGTTTTCAGGCTGGCGGGTGACTGAAGCTCCCAACTGCTCCTCTTTTTCTTTTTTTTTTTATTCTGGGCCAGCTTTAGCTCTGGCTCCAGCTCTGAGGCCTCTGCTGCTGAAAGCAGGTATCTGGTTTGTTTGGGTTCTATAATCGAAACACTGTTTCAACTCCAGCTCTGAGATTCCGGCAGGCTGAAAGGTTTCTGGGGTTTTGTTTTGCTTCTATATTTGTAACAATGTTTGAAACTGCAAGCTCAGAGGCCGGCAAGGCAGGCGGGGAACGTTGGTTTCCTCCGTCACTGAAGCAAGCAAGCCTCATGTTAGTTTCAAGCTCCCTGCCTGCCGGCCGCCATCTTGACTGGCAGTTAATTTGCATATCTCACTGATTAGCCAATGGGAAGGGTAGCAGACGTATGCTAATTACCATGTTTCTCTTTTATTAGATAGGATTTTGTGATAATAAATTTGCCTGTAGCCATTAGCAAGGGGGCAACTTTGCTTTTGGCATGTCTGTTAAATGAAGCTATATAATTTCATTAGGTAATGGTTGCTATGGATTCTCATTTGTGGCCTTAATTCTATAACTTTTTTGATAAAAATCTCTGGAGTACAGTCTTATTCCTATTGCAGATACCTGTGTTTAGGCCTCTCACCACAGTCCTGTCTGATTGCATTAGTCTCCTCCTTGTCACAGTCTGACTTCTACCAAACTCACCTATTTACTCCCCTATTTCCCTACTGGAGCCATCTGCTCCAGCTAAATACTTTTTTTTTCTGTTATTCCCTGAACCACCCCATTTTAAGTCCACGTCTACTCCTTTTTATGCCGTCCTCCAAGCTGGCATACCTACTCTTTTCTTCACGCACTGAATTATTTGCAGCTTCAGATCCTGCATTGTCTGTTAGCCTGGCAGTGTTAGGGAGCTGTGTGATTGTGAGAGGCAGTATGTTCCAGGGTGTCCTGCCGGAAGCCAGTCCATCCTTGCTGCTTGACACAGTCGCTGCAGGATAGAAACATCTGCACAGCATATGTTTCAAGGGACCTGGCATATATAGCATACTGTTCTTAATATGTTTGCTCCCCTTAGTGCTGTGTGTTTTAACCAAGGTCACCTCTCCGAGAAAGGTTGTTTCCCCAGGCAGGGATTTTTCCCTGAAGTTAGGGAGGGGATGAAACTCCTTAACTAAGTGCCAGGTGGGTAGTTAATCACTTTAACTACAAACAATCATGCTTAAGCTACATAATCTTTACTCCCTGGAATGGAGATAAGAAACGCCCTAACCTTTGTAATAGAAATTGACAGGATTAAAATCAACTGGTATAAATACGGATGTAACAAGACAATAAACAGCAGAACCTCTCTGGAGATCCAGACCAGAACTTGGCTGGAGATCCTGGCTGGAGATCCTGGCTAGGCTGCTGATCAACTGAACACTGTCTCCGTGTCCTTCCTTCTTCGCCGACTCCGTCTACGCCTTTGGGAACCCCTGGACCTGCTGGGGTTGGACCCCGGCAGTGTCCCACTGTAGAGACACCTACACAAGTTTCAGCTGAAGAGTTTTAGGTTCTTTTTTTTGTAAAGACTTACTGTTGACTTTTAAAACATTAAGTTGGTAGTTATAAAAAGAAACGTCTTCCCCTGTACTCCACCCCCCAGAAGAGAAAGAGACTGACACACGCTCCGCCTGGTATTTTCTTCTCTGTGACAATTAGAACTATTCCAAAAATTCTGACAGTTTAGTTTGTTCTTCCTTGAATGTTTGTTTGGATAACATGGCTAATTTGGTTTCATCACTTCTGTGAGTTTTGATTGTTCAGTGAGTCCTCACCTAATGTCATCAGTAGGCTCTGCGACTTGAAGTGAAAGAGAAGAAAACCATTTTTACCATAGGCGACTTGATATGGACAAGCATTCAGATTGTACAAAGTTGCAGTGAAATGAAGTGAAACAAAAGTTATTTAAGAACCTGATGTATTTCTTCCTCCTTCTGCCTTCCACATTACCTCCTTTGTAATTAAAATTGGCCTGTAGAGTATGTGGTGTAGTCTACACTAATCATCTATACTAATAATAGCCTAGGTGGTGTCACACCCTCATGTCGTCACAAGATGACCAATTGCCCGTGACCCCTCCCGACAGGCCCAGCCTCAATCCACCGATTCGGGCTGGGTTGGCCAGACCCCACCCATGCACAAATTCGTGCACTGGGCCTCCAGTGATTGCTGTGGCTAGGACTTCCAGTACTATGTTGCATAACAGTGGTGAAAGCGTACATCCCTGTCTTATTCCTGTTCTTAGGGGAAATGGTTTTAGTTTTTGCCCATTGAGTATGATGTCTGCTTTAGTATGTTGAGGTATGATTCTCTATTCCCACTTGGCTGAGAGTTTTTATCAACAACATGTTAGATTTGTCGAATGCTTTCTCGGTGTCTAATGATATGATATTGTGATTTTGTCTTTCATTTTGCTTATGTGATGTATCACATTTATTGACTTACTGATATTGTACCAGTCATGCATCCCTGGGATAAATCCCACTTGGTCATGATATATGTACTTTTTAATATATTACTGGATTTGATTTGCTAATATTTTGTTGAGGATTTTAGCATCTATATTCATCAGAGATATTGGCCTGTAATTCTCTTTTTTTGTAGTGTCTTTGTCTGGTTTTGGAATTTGGGTAATTCTGGCCTCAATTTTGCTTGGAAGTGTCCATTCCTCTTGGGATTTTTGGAATAGTTTGAGAAGGATAGGTGTGTTCTTTGAATGTTTGGTTAAACTCCCCTGTGAAGCTACTTGGAACAGGGCTTTTATTTTCTGGGAGTTTTTTGATTAGTGCTTCTATTTCATCAGTTGTTAATGGCCTATACAGGTTCATTTAACAATCAGGAGGAAGTCATTAGAGTGAACAAGAGGGTAGTATTGATAGCTTTTTCCAAGTGGTTTTGTTGCTTTGTTTTTGAAGTAGTGCTATGATGGTTTGTTTTCAGTCTCGCTTTTCTTCAGTTCTTTAAGTTGAAAAAAATGTAAGTTAGTACTAGATAATTACTTGACAAAAAAATATTGACATAAATAAAGAAGTTGAAAACTAAAATATAATTCCCAATGGTGTTTTGAAAGTTTGAATTAGAAGAACATTATCTAATTGAAGTTATGGTGCATGTAAATATTCATTTAGTCTGGGTTGCTTCTTTTTGTTTAATATATCTAGTTGTGTTCATAGTACTTTTTTTTGGTAACCACAGTTAATTAGCTATAGCAATAGCATATAAGGCTTATTCATAATTCTTAAGGAAAATATAATGGGCTTTGGCCCTAATAGTGTGATACAATTTTATGCAACAAAGGAATATGAAAAATATTCTAAAGAGCAATTAAAACTCTGATCTGCTATATATTACCTCCTGGTGTCTGAAATTCTCAGTTTAAAAAAATCAGATATATTTTCTTAAAGATGATTTCATTTTTTTAAATTTCCTTTAGGTAAAAGTGCAGTTTTAAAGTGTCTCCTGGATATTCACAAAATTTTTCAGGAAAGTGACCAAGCTTACATTCTGAACGATCTCTATATCTCGGACTACTGTGTGTGGATTCAGAAAGCCAAGTAAGTTTTGAATTACATATGAATTCTGTATGTTCCCATTTCAGGAATACCTACTTAACCCTGAGGAAGAACATGAAATAACCTAGGAGATAAATTTTAATGAAAGAGAAGAAGCCTCATTTAGCTACCAAACATTTTAAGAAGTAAATGGATCAACCTGGGTAGCTTAGTGAATTTGCTTAGGGAGGAAGTGCAGATGTTGAAAAGCTAATTTTACTTAAAAAAAAAATTGTCACTGCTTAGGAAATAAATGTTAAAACAGGCAGTTATAAATATTGAATGCTATGTTATTGACTGTCCTATATAATAAAAGGCTAATATGCAAATCGACTGAACGGTGGAACGATCAGTTGCTATGATGTGCACTGACCACTATGGGGCAGATGCTCAATGCAGGAGCTGCCCCCTGGTGGTCAGTGCGCTCCCACAGGGGGAGTGCTACTCAGCCAGAAGCCAGGCTCACGGCTGGCGAGCGTGGTAGTGGTGGCGGGAGCCTCTCCCACCTCCGCAGTAGTGCTAAGGATGTCTGACTGCTGGGGAGCAGGCTTAAGCCATCAGTTGGACATCCCCTGAGGGCTTCCGGACTGCAAGAGGGCACAGGCTGGGCTGAGGGACCACCCCTTAAGTGCACGAATTTCATGCACCGGGCCTCTAGTACAGTGGTTCTCAACCTGTGGATCGCGACCCCTTTGATGGTCAAACAACCCTTTCACAGGGGTCGCCTAAGACCATCCTGCATATCAGATATTTACATTATGATTCATAACAGTAGCAACATTACAGTTATGAAGTAACAACAAAAATAATTTTATGGTTGGGTCACAACATGAGGAACTGTATTTAAAGGGCCAGAAGGTTGAGAACCACTGCTGTAGTACAATATGAAATCTCAAGCCTGAGGATAGGAACCTGTTGATACTTTACTTCAGTGTGGTGTGAGTGTGCCTGTGTGCACCTATGTAAACATTTCAGGTCACAAACCTAATCAGTGCTGATTACAAAGCTGTGTCTTCACTGGCTAACCACTGGCTAACAGAATGCATTGTTCAGAGCATTAAAAAATGCAACCCTCAGAGCCGAATCACATGATTCCTGGTAACATATACCTAAGTGTCTGAACACTCACAAGTGGGATGCTTGCACTTGGTATGTAAACTTCAGAAAGGGTTTCCCATTGCCTCACTCAGGACTATATGCAGTTTAACAATGGAGTGAATTTTCATTTGTGAAAGGGTTTTTAGACCTGATTCTTATCACACATGCCCAAGTATCCGTTTAAGAAACTATTAATTGAGAACTCACAAAGAGAGCTCTTGATCGCAGTGATTCTTCGGTGTAGAAAAATGATGGCACAATATCATTTGTTACTTAGAAGAAAAATGATTATGATATTTTTTTCTATTATTGTGGTTGGTAAATTAATGCTCTAGTATGGCTTTAATACCTGTTTCAAGTGAGCCATTATATAGCATTTACTTCTTTTTCTGTTCATGGGGAAGCAATTATATTGCAAAGTGAAATAAAAAATCTCGAAGTTATTACCTGTTGTAAGTTGTAACTTTAAATTGTTTTTTTCTTTTTGATTCTCTGGTTGAGTGAATTTTTTCTACCCTGTTTTTTAATTCACTGATCCGATCCTCCTCATCTCCCAAAATGTTAGGGACTGGGCAAGATAACCCTAATAATATTCAGCAGGTGGTGTCAGCATTTGTGTTGGAAATGTAGATTTTGCCAGATGGGAAATTGTGTCTCCAGCCCTGAAGTCATGATGGTGCGGCATCACTTCATTCAGTCCTCAGCTAATTGAGCTCATCATGCTGTGCTGCCAATCCCGCTGCTTTCATAACAAAACTAAATTGAAATAGTCTATTTGTGTGGATTTACATCTTTCTTTTTTCCTTTGAGGGAAAGGATTTTATAAACATGTAATGAACATTGATAAACATTGATATTTGTTCTAGGATCCCATTTCTTTGAGTTGCATTTCTTATTAACAAGAGAGATCACATATCTCATTAAGTAGAAGGGTGCCCTCAGGTTGATATGGGGAGTGTTAGACTTTCTCTTAAACATCTTTTCCTTTGGTTTTAGGTTGCGGAAAATTTTATTAAATTTTTCTAATTTCATTCTTAATTTTTCAAGTACAACATAATTGAGCTTTTCAGTATCTGTTGCTGTGGACTTTCTTGGCTCTGGATTAATTATATTGCAGTGAATGTCCATGATTTTCATAGCTAATTTCTTTCTCACCTTTCACCTTCTGGTTTCTTTCTTTTCCATATAGTTTATCTGTGAAAGCTAGCACCTTATTTTAAAATAATTCTGTATTTTCCTGAGTCTATTTCTCACTTCCTCACTTCATCTCACACAGCCATGAGCATTCTAGTATTCTAGCTGTTTTTGCTTGTTTTTTATTTCTTTTAATATGTTCTTATTTATTTCAGGGAGAATGGGAGAGGGAGAGAGAGATAGAAACATCAATGATAAGAAAGAATAATTGATAGGCTGCCTTCTGCACGCTCTCTACTGGGTATTGAGTTTGCAACCTGGGCATATGCCCTTGACCGGAATCGAACCTAGGACCCTTCAGTTCCCAGGCCAACGCTCTAGCCACTGAGCCAAATCAGCTAGGGCTAGAAGTTTTTTTGTATATCTCAGTGTTCCAAATTGGGTGCATATATGTTTATCCAAGTATTATCCTCTTGTTGGCTTGATCCCTTTAGTATTATGTAGTAACCTTTGTTGTATCTTGCGATGACCTTCATTCTGAAGTCTGTTTTGTTGGATATGAGTATTGCTACCCCAGCATTTTTGTTTGTTTTTTCCATTTGCATGGAAAATTATTTTCCATCCCTTCATTTTCATCCTCTGTAAGTCTTTTCTTCTGAGGTGGGTCTCTTGTAGGAAGCATATAATTGGGTCATGTTTTGTATCCATTCAGCTACCCTACATCTTTTGATTGGAGCATTTAATCCATTTACATTTAGGGTTATTATTGATAGGTACTTATTGCCATTTTAATTCTGTGTGCCTATGTTTCTCTTTCTTTTCTCTCTCACTCTCTCTCTCTCTCTCTCTCTCTCTCTCGTTTCTTCTTCCCCTTACAGATGCCCCTTTACCACTTTTTCGGTGCTGGCTTGATGGTGATAAGCTCTGTTAGCCTTTTTTGTCTGGGAAGCTCTTTATTTCACCATCTATTTTGAATGACAGCCTTGCTGGTTATAGTAATCTTGGTTTCAGATACTTGATTTTCTTTACCTTGAATACTTCATGCCATTCCCTTCTGGCCTGTAGACTTTCTGATGAGAAATCAGTTGACAGCCTATGGGAGCTCCTTTGTAGATAACAAATTGCTTTTTTCTTGCTGCCTTTAAGATTCTCTCTTTGTCCTTAATTTTTGACATTTTAATATGATGTGTCTGGGCGTGGGTCTGTTGGGTTCTTCTTGCTTGGGACTTTCTGTGCCTCCTGGACTTATGTGACTCTTCCCTTCACCAGATTAGGAAAGTTACCTGACATTATTTCTTCATACATGTTCTCTATTTCTTACTTTCTTCTCCTTCTAGCACACTTATGTTGCAAATATTGTTATGGTTTCATGTTGTCCCACAGCTCCCTTAAGCTGTCCTCCTATTTTTAAATTGTTTTTTTCTTTTTGATTCTCTGGTTGAGTGAATTTTTTCTACCCTGTTTTTTAATTCACTGATCCGATCCTCTTCATCTCCCAATCTTCTGTGTATTCCTTTCACTGTGTTTTTTATAGTTCTACTAGGGGCCCAGTTCACGAATTCATGCACCTTGAAAGGAACCGTGGGCCACGAGGCTGTGGTGGGCACAGGGGCAGGTCTTGGCCCATCCTCTGCGCCCCTGCTCTGCCCCTCCCGCCGCAGCCTCCAGTCCCCTGTTGGCCAGCAGCCCCGCTCCCTCCGCCACTGCTCCCATGTGCTGATAACGCCAGCCCCGTTTGCACCTGCTGATGGTGCGGAGCGATTGGGGCCAGCACTGGCCCTGGGTGTGAGCGAGAGCTTTGGTGCCAGCTGCAGGTTTGAGTGGGGCCACTGCCGGCAGCGGGTGCGAGGGGGGCTGGCGCCGGCAGCAGATGCGAGTGCACAGCAGGACCGCAGTGCACGGGAGCAAAGAATTTTCAATAACCACCAGAGGCTCACCCTGATGGCAGTGACCAGCTCCCTGCCTTGTTCTGTTGCCCCCACTCACCTGCTCCACCGTCCCGCCGTGGCCGATGCCTGCCGTGTTCCACGCTCTGCTGCCAATCCTGCCATGTTCTGCGCACGCCCCCTGGTGGTTAGCACACGTCATGCCGACTTGTTTCACGTTCAGTCTAGTTGCATATTCGGGTTTATATATATAGACTAGAGGCCCGGTGCACAAAAATTTGTGCACTCGGGGGAGAGGGGGATACCTCAGCCTGGCCTGTGCTCTCTCGCAGTCTGGGACCCCTTGGGAGATAATGACCTGCTGGCTTAGGCCTGCTCCTGGGTGGCAGAGGGCAGGCCCAATCCCTAGGTGCAGCCCCTGGTCGGGCTCAGAGCAGGGCCGATTGGGGAGTTGGGGCACCGCCCCCTGTCATGCACAGAGCAGGACGGATTGGGAGGTTGCGATGCCACCCTTAGTCACGCTCAGGGTATTGCCGATTGGGGGGTTGGGGCACCGCCCCCTGTCACACTCAAGGCAGGGTCGATAGGGAGGTTGCGGCGCTGCCCCCTGTCACGCACAGAGCTGGGCCCATCGGGGGGTTGGGGCTCCGTACCCTTTCACCCACAGAGCAGGGCAAATCAGGGGGTTGGGGCGCCACCACTGTCACACTCAGGGCAGGGCCGATGGGGAGGTTATGGCTCTACCCCATTACACACAGAGCAGGGCCTGTGGAGGGGGGGTTGGGGCACCGCCCCCTGTCACACTCAAGGCAGGGTCGATAGGGAGGTTGCGGCGCTGCCCCGTCACGCACAGAGCTGGGCCCATCAGGGGGGTTGGGGCTCCGT